CATTGTTCCTAAAATTCATTCTTTGATTTTAGAGGACACAAATTTGTACCACACACATAGTAGGTTGGGAATTTCATGCCCCTATATCAGTAGTTTACAGCCACATCCGTGTATCCAATTTCTAGTGCCCATTCTAATTCACCATTCTAACCCCCTTTTCTAACATAATAATAAGAGGGAAATCCACTGGTTCAATTTTTAAAAGACATTTGATCCATCTCACCAGTTAAACATTTCCAAGCCCAGTAAAACAAACTCTCCTTTCCTGGACTCCAGCAGTTATTTCCTGCATCTCTGCTTCTCCCAAGATTACAAAATTTACTCACCAGAATAAAGAAAAAAAATGCCAAGGCAGTTATGGAAATAAATTCAATCCACAATGTGCAGAGATGCATCTGTAAGCTTGTGCAAAAATCCTTTAGGAATGTTTATAAGGCATAGCCAAATAGAAGTTTCTTATAGGTAGAGAAGCTTCTTTCCTCCCTCATCTAATTATGGTGTGCCATGACCCATTGGGGCTCCTGAGGTTCTTGGGGTTAAGGACCAGTGAAAGAATGAGAAAAACAAAGAAAAGACAAAGCTGGGGTCAGGTGGAGCCCTTGTCCTCCTGATGTGAGGAAAGGAACTGCTCAACCACTGTAGCACCTTTATTTATATACTTGGAAAGATGACGTCAATTTCAGCCCCTCTGCCTAGCAACCCATTTGTTTCCTTCCTGGTGCTGGACCAACTTGTTTACATAGCTTGTTTTGGTCTCTCTGTTTTTTTCTGGGCTGGCCTTGTTTTAGCCCCACACATGTGTTCAATCTCCAGTTGTCAACAGATCCCTACAATGGTGAACTATTTCCTCAGTTCTCCCCCAGTCCTCAGAATCAGCATAGCATGTGAGCAGGAGTCCTTCTGGAGGCTTGAGAGGAATCCAAGACAAGTCCTCTTTGTACATTAAGGAGCTTTCTATTGTCTCAATGCTTGGCACAACCCACATGGAGCCTGGCTGCATATGAAGAAACTTTCACTGGCAACCTCAGCTTTTTCCCCCAAAACTGAATTATTCCAGCAAGGAAATGTCTAGAGAAGTCCTGATAACAATGCTAAGCCAGGACACCTCTACAGAGGTCTTACCTCACCTACCTGAGGTGAAGAAGTCAGTAGAAAGAGCCCAACAGCTCTGGTACTGTGCCTATTTTGTTTTCCTCTTCCTGCTCAGCAGGTTCCATTCAACTGAATGGACTCCTTTATTGATCTGTAAATGGGAAACTTCCTAAGGTAAGAATAGCATAGGGTAGATAACATGTACAAGTATTCTCCCTCCCACACTCCAGTGGAGGCCTAAGTACCTCTTAAGAACAATGTCAACAGATTGTCTCTCAGCAAGAGATCTGGAATACAGTTTGATGCCACGTTTCAAAAGCATCAGGAAAGAGCACAATAACAATGAGTACATAAAGATCCAAGGTGAAGAAAGGGAAAAACTTTCAAAGCTCCTGAACTGGAAAGAACAAAAGAACAAAACAGAGAGGTAGAAGAACGAGTTTAGAGAATTATACTATACATATGCCTAACTCCTTAAAAATTCTAGAAGACCAGAATACTACTTTTAGGCATGGTAATGAATGCCTGCAATCCCAGCACTTGAGAGGTGGAGGCAGGAAGATTGCTGCAAGTTCAGGATCAGCCTGGGCTTCAGAGTGAGGACAAGGCCAGCTGGAACTGCATAGTGACAACTTGTATCCAAAAAAATAAAAAAATAAAAGGACAAAACCAAAAAAAAAATTACCTTCAATTGGAGGTTTAATTTTTATTATCCTTTTAATTTTGAGTTAAATGTACATTTACATACATTTTAAGTACTAATGCACAGAGATTTTGTATTCCCTTTAACTAGTTTCCCCACTGAGAATATCGATAAACCTGCAGTACAAATTCACAACAAGAGAGAGACATCAGCCAGAGAATTACTATTGATGTCCAGTTCTACCACCAAGACAGCGAATGGTTGTTTGGACAGACACCTGAGCAACTGGGTATTCAAACAGGACAACTACATTAGAGGACTGGAGACAGGATGGGAACAGTAGGAACAGGGGACAAGGACAGCTAAGGAGAGAAATTGAAACCTCATGAACAGTGCCTTATATTGTAGATAACTTGACCTGTACTCTCTAGTTTAGTGGGAGATCCTGCAGAATTTAACCTGGAAGTGACTCATTGAAATTATTTAACTAATCATTTCCAGAGTTTGATTTCTGGAGGTTTTACAGTTGAAAGCCCAGACTTCACATCCCCTCTACTACAGAGTAAACTTGACATCATATTCAGACTTGCTAATCCTCAACTTCCTAATTTTAATTATGAGTAAAAGTAACTTTTATTTCACAGTTTTGTCTTAAGTATTGGGTAAGTGTTAGAATAATCTGCATCCAAATTGTGTACTGTGGCTAAATTTCTAGCCATACTCTAACCTGCCTTCTTAGTCAATAATGCTATGGTTTAGGAAACACTATGAGTATAGCAATGTCCCATGCAAATTTAATGCTCACGGCATTTGAGGGAAAGCTAAAATAAAGGCTAGCCTTATTGTTGTAAAGCCTTTTGTCCCATACATATCTCCATTTTTTTAATGTATTCTTCAGTAGAAATCAAAAACCAGTAGAGAATGGGATGACACATTCAAAGTATCGAAAGAAAAGACTGCAAATGTCTTAGTCACTTTCCTCATCCATGGAACAAAAATATCTGACACTTGCGTTTTAAAGGATGACAGGTTTATTTTGGTCCATATTTTAGAAGATTCAATCTATGTTTGTCTGACTCAAAGGAACCACAAGGTGAAAGGGTAGCTAGATGAAAACTCCTCATTTGAAAGTAGTCATGAAGTATACTGCAAGAGGACAAACTGGGGAGGTAGAGATATGCCCTACCTGGTCACATCTTCAGTGACTCACCTCCTCTGAGCAGAACTACTTCCTACCACGACACGTAGCCATGCCATCTTCTGATTCAATCACACCTTCAAAAGCCCAGTACATGAACCCTTGAAGTTTTGGAGGAGTATCCAAATATTAACCAGAACACAATTCAAGTTACTACACTGAGCAAGACCATCTTTTAAGAAACAAGTTTCAGATGAACAAAACAGCTATAAAAGCAAAAATGCAAACAACTCAAAAAAATGGCAAAGGACTTGCTAGACTTTTCTGTGCAGAAGTCACAATGACCAAGTATGCAAAACATTTTAAGCGTCACTCATCATTACAGAAATGCCAGTAATATCACAAATAAAAATTCATCTCAAGGCATGAGAATGGCTACTACAGTAAAGAAAAACTAATGAGGGATGTGAGTGAAAGGGACATCTTGGATGTGGACATTTAAACTATAAAAATAGTACATAGATTTCTCAAAAATTAAAAATACAGCTAGTGTATTATGCAGCAATGCCTTTTCTAGGCATATATCCAAAGGAAATAAAACCATTAATGTCAAAAAATATCTGCATTCCAGTGTTCATTGATTTCCTACATGTGGTAGATAAGATATGGAATCAATCTAAGTGTACACAGATGGATGAATATATAGAAACAATTTGGAATATATACATAATTATATACAATAATTAAATGCATAAAAATACATATATATTTCAAATATGTGTATGTCATGCGGTACAATATCCTACAAAGGAGTATATTCTGTAATTTGTGGCAATGGAGATAAACCATAGGACATTATGCTAACTTAAATAAAGCCATGCATAGAAAGACAAAGTAATATGTGTTTATACATATATGTGGAGCATAAAATGCCAAATTTTAAATTTAATAAAAGTATTTTTCTGACCAAATATCCACTTTTAGAACTGTCCCTTTTCCAGAGTCTTAATTTTATTCTGATGAAGTATCTAACAAGATTTTGTAGAATTGAATTATATAAATGTGCTTAAGGCAGGAAGAAGATTCACAGAGCTTGTGTGAAAACAGCAAAAAGTTAGAGTTCCCATTTACTGATGTATACCAACTTGTACGAGCACACTGCACACGTATAAAGGACATCTGCTTTCTCTTACTGAATTTATCCTTGCATTATTCATACATAATTATGATAGAAAGATTTAAAAAACAATAGATTAAAATAGAAGAACAGATTGTGAACATACTAGCATTCGCTGAATGAAGTTTTGATACACATACTCTATAATAACAAATGAAAACTTGTTGAATATTTTTTAAATATCACTTTAATAGTAACATTTAAACATCGTAATGAACACTTTCACTACAAATTAATACAATATAAATGAATATATAGCTTCCGTGCAAGTCACTCTTTTAGAAGTCCAATTTGCTATCCACTGCACTACAGAGCCACCTCAGATCACTCTTTTAAATGCGGCTATTTTTATTGAAAATGAAAGCAGACCTGACAGTGTATATGTTGCAGAACAGTATTTACCTTCCTGTAGTTAATCTACAATTCTATCCTTAAGGTCAAGGCAGGAATACAAGTTTGGCCAATACATAAAGCCTGATTAACATTAGTTGAGAAATTGCATGAAATGGAGAAGCATCAAATTTAACCATCAGATGGATAACGTAGGTCAGTCAAGGAAGAACTGCCCTCTCTTGAGTGATTTGAGACAAAAATGAGATATAATTTGTTTTTCCCAAGCTTTAGATCTTACAATGTCTTTGAATAGACTCTGGAATCATGTGATTTTAGACATGTACTGTGTTTTAGAATTTAAATCCACATTGCCTATCAGTTATGATTCTAAATTTTATGTGATTATCATTGGGGTCCTTTTTAAACTTCAAGTTCCCAGATACATCCCTACATTTTTGTATGCCTGAAAATAAAGATCTTAGCTATGTGCCTTTTGCTAAATATAGTAATGATGTAACATATTTTTATTCATCTTTGAAAATATTTCTGCAAGTGCAAGCTCCAAAAATGTTGCCTCAACCCACTGGCAAATTAAATATGGATTGCAATAATGAAAAAGATTATTTAACATTTTATTGGGTGAAATATTTATGATTATCAATGATACTAGGTTTTTTATTATCAAATACACAATCAATAATAATATCATTTTAAAATTCAACATAGAGAATAAACATCCTTCAGCCATATGCTTTCAGGGAAAAGACCTTTCAACATCATATACTCCATCTTCTATTCCATAAAAAGCTTCCCTGGCTGTCTCATAGTTTAAGGCTCCCAATAAGAAAATTCCAGTTGATTGTAGGATCCACAGAGAGACATAATTACAATAAAAGCCACCAGAATACATATCTCTGCAAAATTCAGCACCTACCATAGTGAGAAAATGTAAATTTTCCTTTACTTTCTCTGTAAATAAAGAAGATAGAGAAGGAAAAACACAAATTATTTAAAGAACATGTTAAATTCCTTACATTGCATAAAATACTTATTAATGAAGAGGACACGTGCATGGGCCTGGCTTGTACAATCTCTGCTCCACTTCTGTAAGCAGCTGGCCTCCCTAGTTCCTGGTCTTGCAGAAGTTTCTTTTGCTGCCATCTGGGATTACTGGATCCTTCCTACATATGCTTTCCCTCTGTACTATGTCCTGAGTCGTGGGATCTATCAGTTATGACCCAGTTGTAGAACCTGCTCTAAAAGAGGACCAGACATTGTCTTAATGGTTCTCCTTCTGGAATTTGAGATTAAATGTACAAAAATTTTATGGGACGCCCCACTTTGTGAAAGTCAGTGTTGAGGGAGGTAAAAAGGCTTGATGGACATTTGTAAACTCCTTCAGAGTAAAGGCGCTGGGAAAAGTGTCCCTAACTTTCCTGAACTGAAAAGAGTTCGGAGACTGGGCTATTATTACCAACTTTGGGTGACAAACTGGGCCACTAGAGCACCTTCCACAGTGTCAGTAGACATACCGTGCTAGATTTTGGAGGTCTATAATGAGGTGACTTGCTCAATTATGCTCCGTGTAGTGTGGTGTTCCATCACACTGAGATTATCATTTGGCATCTGGACCTTGGAATTACAATGACCACCTGCTTCCACAAGTTATTCTTAACAACTAAGTTAGGTTAAATTAATTGATTTTTAATTCAGAGATTATATAGTAGAGATATTCCAAAGGGTCGAGCACAAAGTTGCGTTTGTAAATAAGAATTTTAAAGAAAGATACCCAAGTGTTCTTGCAATTTTATAAAGATAGTACATTCAATCTACATTATGTCTGGGTTGTCAGAAGACAGGTTGGGTATCATGTTTGACAGTACTATCATTATTTTAAAGGGCTCAATATTTAATGTGTGTTCTTACAACTGTTTACTGCAGAAAATACATCTGTTGCCGTAAGTGTGGCCATCAGTTCCACAGACTGGATCCAGTTCTTTGGTGCACATATATAGGTGTTGCACATATCTACTACAGTTTGGCTGAAAAACATAGAGTAGCAACATAGAGTTTATCAGATACACAACTTTTTAAATAAAATATTCTTATTCTTCATAAAAATGGCATACATATAAGTGGAACAAATATACCCAGTATAAATGTATAAAGATAAACACTGAAGTAAGTACAACTCAATTCAACATGACATACTGTTGAAAATGTTTGAAATCTGTTTGACTTTTTAAAAAGCTATACAAATTCTTGAGTGTATTTTTATAACTGGTCTATTCTGTCACAATTTCTCTTCATACTCAGGTCAAATCTCTGCCATATACTACAAGAAATAATGAAATTTTAATTTTATATTTTTAATTCTCCTGTCTTTCTCAATAATTTCAGTATATATATATATATATATATTCAGATATTATATATGTGTGTAAACTCACATGTAAAATATACATACATACATATATGTATACGTATACATATATATATATATGTTGGCAACATGGGTATTTAACAGAATAATACATGTATATATATTCTGCTAAATTTGCTTTTTCAACTTCTTTATAACATTTACTGTTATTTAGAATTATATTTTATTTTCTTCATACCTATACAATATTGCATATTCTGAATATTTGAAAATTTAATCCATCCTTAAATATATAATTGGGGCACAGATTTTCTCATTTTGTTTTCATAGGGTAAATGATTCTATATCAGATACCCTTTAGAAACATTAATTGATTGCATATGATAATATTTATGCTTTTTAATGGAAGATTTGATTGGTGTATTTTTACCTTCTGTAAAATACCAAATAACCAGAAAGACTATTTTTAAAATTTTGTCCATTGGTTTAGTTTTCTTTTTGTTCTGCTTTTTAAAAAAATTCTTTCAGATTCTGTTTGTTTTGTTTTGGTACCAGAAACCAAACACACAACCTCACAAGGCATATACTGTGCCACTGAGCTGGTCCTTATGTTTCTAAAGATCAGTACAGTGTAAATTTTGTTCTGTGAAATTTGTTAAGATTCACAATAAAATAGCTAGCATTTTACCTTTTTAAACTCCACTAAATCATCCATGATAACTTACCCTATCAGAATCCACTTTTGATGGTGCAAAAGCAGCTTCTGTAGCCAGAACATGACAGAAAAATTTAAAAATTAGAATAGAAGTGACAAATTCATATTTGTGGTACAGAACATACATTTTTTAGTGTCAGCAACCTATTTCAAACTGCCTCCTTGAAACTAAGGAGGTGAGTTCTATAGATATGCTAAGAAAATATACTTATAGACTGACTTCAAATCTAGAAGAATTTTTAATTCCCCAATTAAGGTCACTTTTGAAAACAATTGTATGTACTTTGTAATTTCCAAAGCTTTTCTATGATGACATCATACCATTTTATTTAATACATGAGACAGAGAGAACTGCCTTGCATAGTTACTTAATATACCTTACATAAAATTGCATAATATCAAGAAATTCATCAGCATTTAAATAATTAATCAAGCTGTAATATCTTGCTTCAATACAATAGCTCACCACTGTTTTATTCTCAAATTGTCGAGCCACCTTGAGCTTAAGAAAGATGACTTGTCAGAGCAAAGATAAAGCAGTTTTCTCCTTACACAAGGCCTTGACAGTGAGGACTCAGCTGGCAAATGGCAAATGAATTTTTGAAGGAACACTCACTGAAAGGCATGGTCACCCCTATACTCTGCATTTCACACCCGTGGACTCTGACTTCCACAAGATAAATACCTTTAGACAAAGATGAACAAAACTCTCTCTCTCTCGCTCTCTCTCTCTCTCTCTCTCTCTCTCTATATATATATATATATATATATATATATATATATATATTTCTTTTTTTTTTTCTTAAGAGACAATATCTCATTATGTTGCCTAGTTAAGCCTTGGATCCCTAAGTTTAAGGGATTCCCTGCTCTCAGGCTTCCACAGAACTGAGACTACAGGTTCACACCAGTATGCCCAGCTTCTACTAGATGTTCTAATTCATCGCTTTACTTCCCCTTTTCTAAGTTAGGAAATGAGAAAGAACAATTCATTACATATTTTAAAAAGCCATTTGTAACATGCCTGATTCATCTCACCAGTTAAAGCAGTCTAAACCCAAGGACACAAGCCCAACCTTTCTTGGACCACAAGGGTTATTTCATGCATCTTATGCTTCCCAGAGACTACAGAACTTACCAGAGGAAAGAAAAAATGCCAAGGCAAGGATGGCAATAACTTTGATCCATGATCTGAGGAATGGCATTTTATCAAGCCTGTAGAAGAAACTTTCGGAAATGGTTATAAGACATAACCAAATGGAAGTTTCTTATAGGTAAACAAACTACATCCCCCCACTGCCCACCAACTCTAATTATGATGAACTCTTCTCTTGATTCTTCCTCCAACTTTCAGAATCAACATAGCATATGAAGAGGACACTTTCTGGAGACTCCAGAGAAACTCCAGGACAAATCCTCTTTGCACATTTAAGAAAAAGTTTTCTACTGTCTCAGTGCTTGGAACGGCCCACAAGGAGCTTGGGTGCATTTGACTGAACATTCTCAACGAAATCTGTTCTTTTCTTTTGTTTAATCAAAAAACAGAAACAGTTATTTCAGGAAGAAAGGATCTGGAGAAGTCTTTATAGCAACACTTTATAGCTAGACTCCAGGATATCTCCGTAGAGTCCTAACCTCACCTACCTGAAACACAGAAGACGGCGGAGAATCAGCAGCCTCTCGGGGACTATGTCTGTTATTCTGTGTGTCTGCTCAGGAGCATACATCCAGCTGAGAAGTTTCTTTTATTGATTTGAGAGTGGGGAGGTAGAGAAGAGAAGACAGATGGCCTGACATAGATAAGGCACAGTGGTATTCTACGACCTCACTGAAGACAGTGAAGGGATGCCGATCAAATACTTTTCAGTGTATCAGTCATCAGGAGCTGTGTGGATAATTTGTTCTCATGAACCCAGAAGTTCAGGGAAGAAGTAAAATAATACATTTTGTTACAGATCTAAGATAGAGAGGACTTACAAATTCTTTTCAAGCAAGTGAGTTCAAAAGGCACAAGAGAGTTGATCAAGGAAAAAGGATGTAGAAACTTTAATTCAATAAATTTTTATTTTGTCAGTACTTTTGAAAAATGATGTGGGAGCATCATCCTATCCTGGGGCCAAGTGAGAACACCAGGCACCCGGCTGTCAGACACAGGACTGACACCAGCATCCTGGTCCCTTTGCTTCTGGTCTTGGAATGGAATCACACTGCCTGCTTCTGGGTTCCAGAGACCCACACAAAGCTACAGCCAAGATCCTGGGGTCTTCACCAGCAAAGGACTGTGACATCTCAGCCTCTGTAATCATGGAATTGCCCCAGTTAAAAAATCCCACTCCTCTTCTATCATACAGGATCCCATTTCTTGCCTCTCTGTGAACCTTAATCTCCATAAGGGACTGCTATGCAGCAATATGTTTCTTTTGATTTTCTTTTATTTTGTTGTGCTGTGATGTGTTTTTGACAAAAGGGTCTTTCTATGTTTCCCAGGCTGTCCTTGAATCTTTGGGCTCAAGAGATCCTTCTGCCTCAGCCTCGCAAGTAGTTAGAAACACAGGTGTGTACCACCATGTCCAGCTATTTAGCAATAAAAAGAAAAGGGGTCCTGATACATCCTTACAACATAGACAAACCTTGAAAATTTTATTCTGACTGAAAGAACTCAGACAGAAAAGGAAAGAGAGAGAGAAAAGTGGTATGATTTTAGGGCTCCAGGGAAATAAAAATCCTGTAGCAGAATTTGAGATTTTCCAGAGGCTGAGACAAAAAACTTCTCTGGGTGACCTGTATTTACTGGTTTTCAAATAAAGGAAGGGGTTAAAGTGTATAACATGGGAACTGAGCAGGACCTTGGAAGTCAGTTCAAAGACTTCTTCATGTAGCAAATTATGCTAATTAGAACTGTACTATTTCCACATTGACATTTACCAAAGGTATGAGACACCTGCAGCTGTAGTATCTATTTAGTTAATGGGGATTGAAGCCAGGCATCCTCAGCTGTGGCCTTCTCTTGTCCTTTGAGGCATTACAGCATCACAGGTGAGTACAAGCCCCAGTCAGGACCAGTGATTCATAGAGGTTCACTTGCTATGAATCCACGTCTCATCTCCAGACAAAGAGCTTAGGCCTGGGATAGACTCACAAGCAAACGTAGAATACCAACTGATTAATTTTAAATCCTACTCAGAGCTGCTTCATAGTGGTCTCCATCGATGTGCACCCTGCAGTAGAGCCATCCAATTATGGCCTGAAAAAAACCTTCACAAACTGTGAGCTAAATAAACCTCTCTACCTTTAACTTTAGGTGTTAGGTATCTTGCCTAGCAATGAAAGAAAAGTAACTAAGATAGACATTTTAAAATCCTACTAACTAGGATCCATCTGTGTCCTATATCCTGGAGTAGAGCTAAACCATCAAGAAGGCCCAACCTCTTAACTGTAGTGAGAAAAGTTACTTAGATCAGAAGTTATTTGGAGGTTAATTTGGACAGCAGTGACCAGCACAGTGGGTTCAGACTATAAAAAGCCCTACATTAAGCAGATTTCAGAAGGTGGGCAACTGAGTCATGTCTATCATGTTCCTGTACCTATGACAGTGGGTGGTAAAGAATGCTTTGGAGAGGAGGCTGAATACTTTTATTGTGAAGTCACTGGTTTGAATGGGCATTGAACATATGGGTAGATGGGTCTGCTGATTCTCATGGGGTCATGAGCAGTGCCTAAAATTCCCATAATCTTTTATTTTTTGTTCTGGGTGATATTTATACAGCTGTGTTGGATTTTGTGAAAATTCTTCAACTATTATTTTTATTTATGTAATTTATTATATACATGCTAAACATTATTCTATATGAGAAAACCCTAAAATAAAGAAAGATGATATGGATAAGCCAATAGTGTAGTAGGAAATCAAAGATTAGTAAATATTAAATGAGTGTTAATTTTAAAGTGAAAAGGTGATTATTTATAAGAAAGTAGATGAGGAGAATTTTGCAGTATCAGTAGGAAAAGGAATGTAATTTTATAAGCATCATTGACAATGAAACTAATAAAATATTAATCAATATCTGATTACCTTTTACAATAAGAAAACTGTCAAAAATTAAAAAGTAGGTTTTTAAAAACTTTAAGTTGCTTATAGGCGCATACATTTGTAGAATTTCTGAAAGTTCATAATAGTTATGGCTGTAAATGTAAATGCTTATTTATAATAAGAATTTTGGTGATACGGGAAAATAGAACTCTCCCAAATGACAGTATTTGGATTTTGGTTTGTTCAGGAAATAAAAACAGATAGCTATTACCAAGAAGACTGTAAAAGAATATCTAATAGGGGCTGGGAATTTAGCTGAGCGGCATAAGCGCCTGCTTTGTAAGCAGGTAGTTATGAGTTTGATCCCTCGTACCGATAAAAAAAAAAAAATGGCAGTACTTCGTCATGCGTTGTGTGACAAATATGTTTGACAGTAGAAAATATTCCAAATTTTAATATAAACTACAATGGAAATAATGTATTAGAGTGTATGTAAAAATAATACATATCTATGTATATAAACATAAAAAATAAATTCCAAATTGAAAATGACGCTCACTGGCTCTTGGGATTGATGTTTAATTTTTTATGTCTTTTGAATTTCTACTTCTTGGTAGTCACCCTTTTGTTTTTTTGTTTTGTTTGCATTGAGCAGATACCATCATACAATATCAAAAACACCACTGTTATACCAAGTGTCTTTTATTATTAGAGAGTCAGGAAGTCACCAGAAATTAAGAAAGCTTTCATGAGCAGAAACAAAGGCCAAGACTTTTTGGTTTCTTAACCAACATATTGCTTACCCTCACTTACTACAGTCAAAAGGAATGTGGCCGCCCCTGGTGTGTAGATGTCGGAAAAGATCGAGGCAGCCTGCTGCTACCTTGATTGGGACTGGTTCAAGCAACTCTAAATGCTGCCTGCTTCTGTGTTAACCTCCTGTGCCCATTGATGGACACAGAGGTGGCAAGGGAATTATAGCCAACCGTGCAGATATAAAGATGGCAGGAATGCTTCAGATTTTATGATGAAAACACTGAGGAACAAGTTAATGATTTGAACAAGGGAATGATGTTTAAAAGGCATTTCTTTAAAGAGTATGTTAAGAGTAAATAAAGAGAGGAAAGGTGAATTTCAGGAGAACAGCTAGATTACGATTCAGTGTCTCAAGAAAGCTGTATGCTCCATACTGAAAGTGAATGAGATAAGCATTGAGTTCTTGCAATATTTTGAAGTAACTCTGATAAATGTGCTACCCTGCTTCAGGGAACCCAGGGTTAACAGGAGCCAGATTGCAGCTGCCTTAAAAAGTTAATGAGTGATGTAGATATAAAAGTGGTAGAAAGGAAACAAAATACAAATGTAGCTATAAGCAACGCTATGATATTGTGATTTAAGTGTATTTAACTAAACAAGTAAAATTTGAACAGTCATTATTAGCAATATACTTGGAGAATCAATATTTCTTAACATTATGTTTCATATAGAAAATAATAATTATTATGCACACTGGAATAAAGAAAAGTGTTAGCCTGGACAGTCTGGGTGACTTCATCACAAAGGCACCTGAAAAACCAAAAGAACATTATATCACCAGTATGCCGTAATATGAAGGCTGATTATTTAATGACTGTGGTCTTACTCTGTTTCTAAGCCACAGAGATCAGCAGCAACAGTGCAGGCCAACAGCGCCTACAGATACTACTAGCTTTGGGTAGGAGCTGACTTAAATAGGTGTGAGCAGGCCACTTTTCATTGGATATTCCCTTCTCTAATTCATCAGCCTTCATTTGCTGAAGATAATCATTGTTTCTAAGGTTACTTGTTTAGGAGTTTACTGTGACTCTTTAGCAGAGAAGGTCCCCCATTAAGTGCCAGCACTCGAAATTGGGTAACTCAGGCTCTGTCCAGGACTCTTTCTTGGCTTTACATTTATCTCTGTCTCTCATAGTTAACAGGAAGGACCCAGATAAGGATGTGAACTTCAAGCTTTCTTCCATAACTGTGATCAGACAAGGATTATGGGAACACGACCTTCTATTTCAAGTTGCTTGGACTCCAAGGAAGCACAGTTACTAAAAGAAAGGCAGATAACAGCAATATAATCCACCAAAAATAATTATTGCAAAACAGGCTTGATGAGTCTTGAATAAATGTAAGTATACTTTGAGCTCTTGTATATAGAACTTCATTTTTTTCAATTTTTTATTTTATAGAAAAAAAACAAAACAATAGCACAAAATTTCAAACTAAGATTGTAGGAGAGTAGCAATAGCTAGTATGTTGTACATCATTATAGTACTTTAGATCAAAGAAGTGACATAAACTTTATTTTTAAGCACACTGGAAATATTTATAAGAATATACCATGTAGTTGGCCATAAAAGAAGCTTTAACGGAGTGCACTTATGTCTTTAACCACTACTTTAAAAATGAGGAATTATAATGTTTAATTATAATGATAATTTTAAATAATGTTCAACTCTACTCTTTTCTTTTTTTTCCCACTGTCTTTTTTTTATTTAAGGAGAAAAAGAAAAAAAAAACAGAAAAAGGGTACAAGTTATACAGAATTTCAGAAAAAATAAACAATAGGAAATCATTAGTTAATAAATTACATATTGTTATCTTAGAAATAGTGACAGAGTTGTTCAAGTTACAAAATTAAAGCATATAAAGT